TATGTGCTGATGACTATGACACTAACTCTAGGGCCCTTTGCCTCCTCAACTAAAAAAGGGTAGAGGAATTGCAAAAGGACAAAAAATGACAAAAGATCTTGCTAAGAAGATGAGTCTTGGGAATTGGAACAAGAAGATATTACATCCCTATGAGTCTTGGGAACTAGGACAATTGGCTCAAATACTCCAAGTGGGAGGTGAATTAAAGTCTCTAAATTTTCTTCCTTGCAACCAAAAAATAAAATAAATAAGAGAAAGGAAGAAAAACTTGCACAAAGTTCTCTAGAGGTTTAATTCAACCACTTGACACCTAATCATTTGCTTAGCTTCATTCACCAAGGATTTCCTTCACAGGTATTCTCCACTAGAATGAACAAGGGTGGCTTAAAGGAGTTATTCAATCATTTTGCAAATAATGGCTTCTTTTTTTTTAACAAATCCCATCCCTTTACAATATATCCCAACAATCCTCACTATAATATCAATCTTGAAGGAATAGAAAACACCCTCAAAATTTTGCTTACATAATTAGAGTAGAAGATTAATTACAAGAGAAGATCACTCAAAGATCAAATATGCAAGTGAAAGTATAAGAAATTGAATGTTTGGAAGAGAAAGGTCAAGAAGGTTATTAGAATTCTTCAATGAAGTGTCTAAGAGCTTTATAAATGTGTTAACCAACCTTATTTATCTTCCTCAAGAAGGGTTTTTGAGAGTATGGTTACGCCCACACACTAATTTTTTCAATACAAAAAAATTGTCTTTTGCGAGACGTAATTTCCAATGTTAGAGTATTCTGTCAAGATGTTTTGAGCAAAGTTTAGATATTTGTAACACTAAAGTCTAGAAATTCTAGCACTAATACTAACACTTTGGTCAATGTAGAAATGGTTTCTGCAAAGTTCTTTGTTGCAATGGTTTATGTTGGAAAAGGTCATTTTTTGACATTGCAATTGATGGTTTTTTTTTTTTTTCTTGGTAGTGGTTGTGACCAAATAAAATTATTAATATTGTATTTGAAAATATCAATTCTATTTGGTTTAATCATTAAAAATAGTTAATAACTATAGCTATTAAGTAATAATTGATAGAATAGTTAACAATTTAAAATTAATCTAAAAACTTATGTTTCTAAACACCATAACTAACTATTTTAAGTAAAAAAAGTTAAAATTGTGTGGCCATAACAAAATTGTGTATGGTAATAACCACATTTGTTTTCTTAACTATGTCTTTAAGAAACAAGTTAAAGATATGATAAATATATTTCTTAATCATAAATTTATATTGAAAAATAAAAATTAGTTTTTAATTAATTATTTGTTTAATTAAATTTATCTATGTGATGTTGATAATAAAACTAATGTTAATTTGTATTTTTCATATAATTTAAAATAAAA